AAAAAAGAAACAATCGAGAATATATAAAAGTATAATAAAATCAAATGTGTGTGATCAATATGTTTTTGCATTCTATAAAGACTACCTATAATTGTTGAACTTTTTTCTGTAGTTCTTCAGTATGTTTATTCCAAACGAGATTTTCACCGAAATAGAGTCCTAAAAACTTGTGTGATTTTTGTATATGATCTCATTGGTTTCAAATTGAATTGTAGGATATCAATAACTTTTTTTTCAGTTATAAAATATGTGAGACGATTTAAAAAAAATAGTATCAATTTATGAACTTGTAAACAGAAAGAAATCATTTTATACTTCACCTTTCATAGAATCAAAGTCCATTAATTTATTGTAATTATGAGGATATATACTATTAACATGGAGAATCGAAGAAATTAACTTTCAATCCAACAAAATCTAATTTCAGAATAGTTCAGCACCTGATCACTTCAGAAGTAGTCCCAGAAGAAACATGCGTTCTATCGACAATCAGTCTGATGAATCGGAGACATCAAGTGTGTGTTCGGAGAGATCTGAGAGATCATTTGATTCCTTCAAGAGGCCCTGTGATGTGAGTACTCTCTCAATACTGATTCTTGCAATTGACGAGCATGGTTTTGGCTTTATCTCTTAGCACGTTTGCCTTCAAAAAATGCTTTTTTGGTATCATAAATATGTTTCAAGATTAGACTATAATGATGAAGTACAAAATTAGAAGTTAAATTGAACTTATTGAAAGTGATAATTAATTTGAATTTTTCTTGAAAGATATCTATAGGGTCTTTCATTAAGCGCTTCCTGTCTTTAAATTTGAATAAAACAAAGTTTGTGAGATATCATCGAAATTTTTTATTCGTTTGAAAGATCTATTGATGCCATTATGTATTGAACATAACATCGTCCGATGTCCGCCTCAGCTTCTCTGGGTGGAGCACATCTGAAAATTCAAATTTTTCATGACTCTGGCGCATAAATCAGGCTGAATTTGACCGATGGCATGGGTTATGTTGTCTTAGAGGAAAGCTGTGGTTTGTGGCTTATTCGCACACACCTGCGACTTGAGAAAACCCCACAAGAAAAGGTATAATGGGGTCAAATCGCACGATCCCTGTGGCCAGTTCACATCACCTCCACGTTAGATGACCATGCCCTCAAATCGCTCGAGTATCTAATGTGGCATGAGCTGTATGGCACGTAGCGCCATCCTGTTGAAACGACATGTCGTTGGTGTCCAGAACATCCAAATCAGAACATAAGAAGTTGGTAATCATAGATCTATAGTGCTCGCCGTTAACAGTGATGGCCTGGCCAACGTCGTTCTCAAAGAAATATGGATTTTTCGATGAAGATTTGGGACAGTTTTCAACTCCAGAGCCCATTCAGTGAACACACTTCGTTGCCTATGGTCGTTCACCTTCAGTTCCTGGGTCAGTTGAATTTTGTAGTTCCTATGAGCGACGCGAAATCGACTGCCTCGAATTCTGCTGCACACTCTCACAGACAGCGGCGATGTGTTCGGCAGATCTTGCGCTTCGTCAACGTACTAATGTTAGTCGATCACTTACTGAACCAGTGGACTCAAATTTATCCAACCACATTGGCCGCAGTGGTAGTGCTCCCGACTCACGATCGGAAGACCGTGGGTTCCATTCCCGCCTCGACCAGATATTTTTCTCGAGAGAATTCATCTGGTTGAAGTTGGAATGATTCGGCAACCGTTTTAGGAATCACACGTTAAAAGGTAAAACCTAGTTAGTCCTTAGCTCGCACAAGTTTCTCAACTTCTGAGAGTTGTCGTTCATATAGGGGCGACCGCTGATTAACGGAAAAGCAGATTTTTTTAACATTGCAAATAGTCCTCTCGGCAGGACGATTATGGTGAACGTAAAATGAGCGAAGTGCGCGGTACGTTGTCATACAGAACACCCATCTGCATGTGTTGTTGAATGCTATATCCGTCAATAATGATTTGGTAAACCAAACTAAATAAATGCCAACTAATCTAACAGATTTAGCTTCAACAAGATGGCCGTTATCAATTGTTAAAGTTAGGAAGCCCCTGATGGAAGACCCTATATGTCTGATGGAAGACCCTATATGTCTCTTGTTTTTTACTTCTCCATCTTTATACACAAAAATATGAGAATCTTCCAAAGATACGAAGAAAGCAAATAATTCCAAAATAAACAGTTTAGAAAGATGTGTAGACCATACAAAGAAGTTACTTTCAGACACAAACTGGAAGAAAAAGTCTCCTCGAAACAACTACTTTCATATAAACAGCGAATTACACGAAAGAAAAAATACTTTCAAAACAACTACTTTTATATGAACATTGAAATTATAAAAAAACACTTTTTCCTATTCAATTCAATATGGAATTGAATCGGATATCATTCACTGGATTACTACACAATTTAGTATATGACATAGGTGAAATTTCACTTATACAGAACTCTGTCATCCTTAACGGCTGACATCGAATTCTTGGAATACGACACTTATTGCCTCTTCAGCATCGATCTGAAAAACATTACATGATAAAGCACTTAACTTGTTCATAAAATCACGACCTTATGTCACAAATGAGTCACTTATGTCACTCGTGTCATCGGTGACCATAAGTAATGGCATTCATTCGCTTATTTGATTTAATCCCAGTCATGAAAATCTGGTTCAAATTGAAAGGGATATATTTTAGGAGAGATAAATTTTTCCAAAAAAAATTGATCACTGAATGTATCTTCCAAATTACTAAGTGCAGTGATGCCTTCATCATCATCTCCAAAATATTCAACTTTTCACTATTCAATGCACTATTCAATGCACTATTCAAGTATTTCGCTATACAATAACTTCCTCTAACAGCTCTAGCGGGACTGATAAATTACTCCTAAATTATAATCATTTTTCAATCTAATAACATCAGGTTGTAGTGTATAACCTACATCACAGAATACAATACTGTACAAGCACTTTGTCAGTCAGAAAGGTGAAATCACGCCTTTTTGGCTCGGAAACTTGAATGGCTAATGCACGAGATAACAGGTGAGATTAGGTCTGCGAGACAAAATACGTCTCATTTTCAATGTGGATGGCTAGCAAGTCTTTCACATCTGGCGTGGGTTGAATAACCGCTGAACTGAGAGGTGCTCATCACACTTCGCGTAAGAGAGTATTGGTTACCACCAAACAGCATTGTTTCCATCAGATACGATTGCAAGTGGCTGCTAAAAAGTCACTAGTAAGGCGAGTGAGAAGTGCCGCAAAAAATACCCAAATTCAGACGGTATCCCCGCTCATTTTAAGCTCTAGCGCAGTTCGAAACATTCTGTAGAGACCTTCTACAGCCTGAACTGTGCAAACTGAATTCAAAGAAACCTTTTGGATTCTGAGAACTTAGCTGCTCCGGACCCGAATTGGATAAACACTTATTTGTGGTCATCCGACCAGAATTTTCTATTCTTGGCTGGATGCAGAGCAGCAGATTCTGGTGTGGTTTATCGCGTGGCAGACATTCATTACCCCCTAATCCAATACGGAAATAACAACTGAACATGTTTAAACAGCCTGATCTAGTTGACGAAAAATTATCCTAATACCTAATAAATGTATTAACGACATAAGTATATAAATTAATCACTATACTTTCTGATATGGTTTGTTCATTCAGTTAGCTTTTTCGTGTTTTTTGTTGTCTAGCAGTTGAAGAGCCAGGTTCTTACAGCTCTAGTGGGAATGTTTGTATTCATGGCTGGGTTCACAAAACTCTTTGAAACAACATAAAAAAAAGGTTGCTTGTTGAGTAGATGAAAAAAGCGAATATAAAAAAGGTTGCTTGTTGAGTAGATGAAAAAAGCGAATGAATAGTTTCTTGATTTGATAGTACTACTTCCAGAATGTGGTATTACCCGAATTGAATAAATGATAACAGTATTTGACTAGAGATTTTTCTTACGCTTGAAGTAATAACACTGAAAGTCTCGCATTCTAAAACAAGCTCAGAGTAAGTAGGCAAATGATAACGTTTATGGGAAGCAGTACAACTCATTCTCAAAAAGATTGATGAAAAAAGGTTAAGTCATGATTTAGAATTGGAAAATGAGATTCAATATTAAAAGAAAATTTTGTTTTTGATTAGTTTTTTTTGGGAGAGAAGCTTTTTGACGTTCTACTTCTCAATCATTAAACTGTGGAAAAGTGGAAACTTCCAAAGAAAGGAAGGAAGAAAATAACAACTATAAAAACTCCTTTCGTGTAATTCAATGTTCATGTGAAAGTAGTTGTTTCAAAAGGGTCTTTTCTTCCACTTTATAAGTGAAACCTCTGTGTATGCTCTACATATCTTTATAAAGAGTTGTTATTGTAGTTATTTTCTTTCTTTCGTTGGAAAAATATCACTTTTTCTGTGCAAGGATGGAGAAGTAGTAGTAAGCTAAAAAGCTTTTTACTCACAAAGAATAATATAGTGAAAAAATATATTTTGAGGTTTTGTAATAGTTTTTTTTAACTTTTGGCTAGTAGTTATGAATAATTTATTGAATATAAAGTTTGTGTACAAATTATGGACTGCCACACCTGCCTTTTAATGAATAACAAAAGCTGATTTCATTCATGTTATCATTTGTGAAAAAGTCCATTACTATATTTGAAAATTCAACTCATCCTCAAATGTCCATAAGGAGTGACAGTATGATATTTAGGAATACTTCTCCACTTTTCTCAATATTTTTAGTAGAGAGAAATTGAATTCATCCTGGAATAATCGATACTGATTCATTTCTTACCTGATTTGACCTTTGTAGTGTACAATCCGTAGGTGTTGGTTGTCCAGGGTTTTTTTTGTTTTCATTTCTAAAACAGTTGGAATCTTCTAATAGTAATGCATTCACTAGTGGTATGCTGAGTGCATTGGTTATGAAATAATAACATATTTTTTTCATTTCCATAGGATATCAACCAAATCATAGCTATGTGTGCTAGCACCAACTGGCAAGAAAGGAAAGACGGTCTACTCTCCTTGCAGTACTATCTCGCCAACGAAATATCTTTAACGGAGGGAGAGCTGAAACACCTCACAGAAATATTCACCCGTATGTTCATGGATTCTCACACCAAAGGTTTGAGCGTATTTCTAGACACTTTACACGAAGTGATAAAATTATATAAAACCGGATTAGACTATTGGTTGTACGTATTACTGCAGAGGGTATTTCTGAAAATCGGCACGGAAACGCTCAGTTCCATCCTGAGTAAGCTGATGGCCACCTTGGAACTCATAAGGGTTAGTTTTCCCATCAAACCCCTCATAGCGAACGTTTATAGATTTTTGATAGATGCCACTCAAACCCCGAACACAAGAGTGAAGACTGTCGTTATGAATTTTTTAACGTCACTATGTAATAACCCCGATGCGGCGCAACACATTTCCCAGACACCCGCTCCTCAGGCGCTAAGGAAGATCATCACTTATGCTCAAGACACCAAATCGAGCGAGACGAGACACGCCGCCAAAACGTGCATTGTGGCCCTGTGGAATTGCAACACACCGCAGGTCACTATGATGCTGGCCGAGATGCCCAAAGACATGCAGGATCTGGCATCCAACGCCGTTCAGAATCACATGAGGAAGAGTTCTAGTAACAGCGAACCAGGGAGTCCCGTCGTGTTGGGCAGTCCGAAGCTGTACTCGCCTGTCGTTTCGCCGCTTCGGGACGGAATCGATCAAGAGGAGATTTACAGAAGTTTGAGGAAAACTACGGCTGAGATTCAGAATTATAGTTTCGAAACTTTAGGTTAGTATAGGTTAGAATAGAAATATATTCCACACTGGACATTTTTTACAAAAATTACAATTTTGCTTAACTGGCTATCGACCGAAGTGCTTCCGCCCGCGTAACAAAATTGCTTTAAAATAATATAATGATAATTATATGGATATAAAAATGGACAAAAAAACGATTTCATTGATGAAGTTGTGTTAATTTTTCTAACACTGTTTCTGTTGGGTGTCGATGTCATACTCTTGCATAGGGGTTTCTTGTCACAGTATACTTTCTAATGATTTCTACATTGTCGTCTTTCCTAGCAAAATTCTGAGTAAGTGACGGTAGTCTTTCCTCGATTGGGATAATACCAGTGAGTTGGTACAGCAGAGGGTTTGGAGGGTTGTGTTTGGGGTTATTGGGATGCCTTAATGTTGTTATTTTCCATATAACCGTTGTTACAGATACTTTAATTGTTTTCAAGGTCCTTTGTTTGATATTGAGAAACAGTGGGTGCGAGTATTCAATAAGTGGACGACAGATTAGTTTATATATTCGGCTTGCTGTTGATATGTTTGCACCTGCTCCCGGGTTCGTCAAACTTGTGAAATGTGCGGCTCTTGCAATCACTTTCTTTTTATTATTTTGACGTGGCTGTTGAAATTTAGTCTGGAATCAAGCGTAACACCTAGGTAATTAACTGTCGATTTTGCATGTAAGATATGTTGGAAAACGTTGATTGTTGGAGAAGTTGCGGAATTCCGATGATTAAATATAATGAACTGAGACTCAAATGGGTTTGGCTGGAGCCTCCATTTATTGAACCAGTTATTTGTAATTGTTGTAAGATGTTCCAAATTGTTAATAGCTTTGTCTAGCGTTTGATCGTGCATAATTAGGGCAGTATCATCTGCATACTGGAGAATATATGCTTCATGCCTGAAGTGGTTGATATTATCTTGTTGGTGATGATACATATCAGAGCTGTATACGTTATATAACAATGGTGAGAGCGGTGAACCCTGTGGAACCCCTTGTTCTGGGCTAAATTCGATTGAAAACCTACTCAGTATTTTAACTCTCAGTTTCCTGTCAATTAGCAGATTCTTAATTGAATATACTAGATAGTCAGGACAACCCAGTTGATGCAGTTTGACTAAAAGACCCTTGTGCCAGATACTATTGAATGCTTTGTTCATATCCAGAAAGATCGCTGCCGTTTTGTTGTTGTTCAGCTTGGTTGTTTCAATGTTGTTCGTGAGAATCGTGAGAGGATGTATAGTAGATCTTCCTTGTCTAAATCCAAACTGGTAGCTTGGAATTTTATCATCAAACAGTTAGAGTAAACGGTTTCGTAAAAGTTTTTCAAAATTTTTACCAATTACAGGCAGGAGAGTAATCAGACATTTTTTACAAATTTACATATACTTTTCAAAGCATACAAATTGGGTATTGTTTCCGAATATAGAATGTTTATATAACACAACAAACAGAGTTTATGTACAAACATATGATGTACTTGTATAACTCTATACTAGGTCTGTTAGAAAAATAAGGTGAATTTTCGTTTTTCTTAAAAAAAAAATATTTATTCATCAATTTCTGTACACTTATACCAGCATTTTTACCAATTTTTTGGTATGTCCTTGAGCTCTTTCGGCCATTCGGTTCTCTTTAATCTTGGGAACAGGAAAAAGTCGAAGGCGGACAAATCTGGTGAATACTGTGGCTGCGGAATGATTACGATGTTGTTTGTTTAAAAAAAAATTTGTTTTTCTGTTAATCAGCTGTCGCCCCCATATGAATGACAACTCTCAGAAGTTGAGAAACTTGTGCGAGATAAGGACTAACGAGGTCTTACCATTTAACGTGTGCTTCCTAACACGGATTGCTAATCGCTAATCAAAAGTACGTAGCCCGCGAAATTTGAACATTCACCCTATTTTTGAACAGATCTCTATATCTAGTTACACTCTGAAATGCCTATATTAGCTTAGTTGAGTGTTGGTGAGAACGTATAGAATGATGCTTCAAATATTTTTCATGACAACAGTCAACAGCAGCATGTATGATCTGTTAGCCTTCTCAAGATGCATTCGACTTGATCCTCTATCAAGCAAGTAGGGTATTTAAAGCATTCGCCGGGCTATTATTGCTTTTGAGATCATTGCAACAGATCTTGCTTCTAATAGAAAAAAAGCCGTAGGATGTTTTAGCTTTTGATGAACATCATGTTAAGAATGTACTGACTACATATTTATTTATTTATTCATTTTACACCTCAGTTTTATGTAAACGAATTCTTAATAGCTTGCGATATCAGATGTCTCGACCATGAATATTTGAATTTATGATCATTTGTTCATATTTTTATGGGCAAAAATGACACATTTCAAGGTAGATCAAGATGGAGCAGTCAAGAGGCCCTCTCTTAGGAAACTTGGTCTAAAACTATCCTGAAATCCTGAATTATTAGAAAATTTCTCAATTGTTTGAATAAAAGGCTGAACTGGGTTTGTTGAAGACTTTGTTGAAGTGTCTCCTAATGAATGATTTCATTGACATAGATTTCAATTCATTCAGAATTAGTTTGTTGCCTCGACACCAAGCATTGAAATGGTGTCAATTCGGCATTTATTGAAATTGTAAAACACAACCAACCAAACTCTTTATCTTTCTCACTTACTGGCTTTTTTCAAACACTATCTGTTAGCTATACGGACAATTTTGCAGCTGTCACTGAATCTAGAGTATAATGGTGGCAGATGCACAATATGTTCAAAGAAAAATTCAATATATGAAATGTATACACACCTTGACTCTAATTCTGGATCTATTATAATTCTCAAAAAAAATTTCAGGTTCTAAATTAGATAGGGATAGAGATACAACCTCGCAAGATTCCGGTATATCCCAGATGTCATTGGGTAATGACGTGGGAAAAGATATCAATTTAATTGAAGAAAGATTAGATGATCTTCACCTTAGGTCAAATTTCAATATTAGATCAGGGCCTAGATCGTTACCGTTCCCATCGGTAAATGGTATTACTGAGACTGATTCTAATGGATTTAGAAGTTTAGGTAAGTCATATAGATTAACTGATGATTTATAATAAAATATGACTACCATTTTTAGGAGAAATAAAAGACTCTGAACATGTCATAATGAACATTATAGAGACCTGTTTGATCGACGTTCCTACTCCCAAAGAGGATAAAAGGAAATTACTTATCCAATTACATGAAATGATCAAATCCGGTCAGACAGAGCATGTCAAGAAAAATTTCAAGTATGTTCAAGATTAGCGATTTTTTATTTTTTTCATGTTGTTACACTCGTCTCGAACATATGTTTATAGTTTCAGCATAATAAAAATCAGCCAGTAAGTCCACTCCCACAACTTTCATTCATAAATTCACAAAGTTCTTGGTGACCTCAAAACGAAGTGAGGAGCCAATTTTGTGCGCTCATATAAAAACAAAATTTAAGGTTATTATAGAATATTTTGTAATAAATTACTTATAACCAACTACAAAAACCAAAAACAATAATAAGAACAGTGAATAAACTAAACACAATATCGATTTCCCATCGTTTATTATAACTAATCTGTTGTTTGTTGTTGATGAGAGGCATAAAAGGTAAAATAAATTAATATAGAATGAATGAAAATGTTGAATAAAAAAATCGTGTCAGTTTGTTTTGGTATCAAAATAGTTGTAAATAACCAGCAAAAAATCTATGTTATGCACATTTGAACTTAGACTTGTCCTCATATGTATTAATTATACTTCACACAAATTTTTGTTACATTTTTAATTTATCTCCTTCAAGTGTACATATAAACTTTATCCGAATTCCTTATTTGTATATTATGAAACAATGGCTCTCGTAATATTTTGAGGTTCTTGCTCAAAAAAATTCCATTCTGCTTCCTTGATTATTTTCTTTTTTGTAATCGAAAGATGATGACATTTGTCATTGTTTCATAATCAAATTTGTTGTGTACATGTGAACTTTTCTCCAAACTATTTGAATCGGACCTTTCATCAGAAGTAATGATGGAAATAAAAAGTGTTGGACTTGAAGTTTCGTTACAACTCTAAATTGCACCCGTGTGAAGCCGAGATAGGACAGTAGTTATTCATATTCAGCTTTTCAATTTTTCTCTTTGTGTGAAATAATAATTATTCTCTATTTCTGATAGAATTTTCTTCTTTATATTTTTTAATTATTTAGGTTATGAAAGAAGCGGAAGCAACAGCTGCAGCAATGATTGTGTGTCCTTTTGAAACTGTAGTGTCCACATTAGCACCTTTAATTCGGACTAGCCCATATCCAGGCTTATTAGGAGCAATAAAAATGTTAACAAAATTGATAGAGGCTAATCCAGCAGAAGTTACTGATGATCACTTGGGAAAAATAATGCCAGGACTTATCAAGGTGAGATTTAATTATTTATTAATCAAACCATTATTTGTTAATGTGTTTAAATAAGATAAAGATATCAATCTGTAAATTTTTCACGATGTTCATTTATCAAAAAGTTTTATTTTTTTGCTAAAATGAAAATCATGCTTCCGGGATCAAATTGGCAAAATGAACCAATTAGAGTTTTTTTTCTCAGAGTAGTAAGTTCTTCATATTTATATTTTTACAAGATATGTAATATTATTCTTGAGGAAGGTATGAAATATACCGAAATTTCGCCACATAATAAAGATATAAAATAGAACCGATTTATAGTAAATTCTTCAGGTTGTAAGTCCAAAAAAGAGGAGTTATTTTCTTTTTTATTGTTTATTTCGTGATAGTTTCTCATCAATATATGAGCTTAAAAATGTTTTTGTTTCTGTATATTTGTTGGAATTGTTATATCGAATTAGTTGAAGTATTAAATAGTTTCATAAAAATATTGAGCCCTGATTTCTGTTCAGTTGATTCCATATAAGAGAATTATTTTTCAATTGGGAATCAAACCATAATAAGTTAGTGAGGAGCTGAATGTAGGTAGTGATTGTGTTTTCACAAAAAGATTTCAATACCTAATAGAATGAGATGAAGAAGGAGAACAAATTAAATCTGAAAAGGAAAAATCAAAGCGGAGGTTCCGCAAGGCTCCATACTCGGCCAACTAACGTTATTTTATTTATCAATAACTTGCCTTTATAGAGTTGGCCAAAAAATTACCCAAATGTGGATAACACTCAATATTTAACGACATTACTAGAAATTACATAAAGAACAACATGTCAAATTCTTTGAACATATTAAAAGTTGGTTTGAAATAAATAATATGCAAAATAATATCAATAAAAGTCAACTCAAGAAGTTTTCTAATACGCAGCAGAATTACACTTTTTCACTACTCTATGATGGGGATGAAATTACACCTGCTCCATATTTAAAATTATTAGGAATCACAATAGGTCCTGGACTGGATAGGAAAAAACACGTTGACCATCTAGCACAAATTATGCCAAGCTTTTGCTATACACTTAAGGTATTGGCTCAGTCAGTAAACATAGAGGCTGCATACGTCCAATCTCGTGTTTGATATTGAATTATATTTTGGGCTAATTCTACTGATGCCCACAGAATTTTGGTAATCCCAAAAAGATGTTTGAGGAGCATACTTAGTATAAAACAAACTGATAGCTGCAAAAATATATTTCCAAGAGTGAATATACTCACCTTGTTGTGACTTTATATATGAAGCAGTAATATTGGAAATGTGGACGTTTCAGTTATAAAAATTTTCAATCATTTGTCCTATAATCTTGAAAAAGTGCCAATAAATAAAATGGAGCAGTATTATCTTAAGCAGGCATTAATACAAAAGGCTTACTATAAACTGGAGGGATATTTTGAAGGTAGTCCTATATAATTTTGCTATTTTCAATATATATGTGATAATTTTATAAAATTTTATGCACCATTGGTAAAGTACCCCTTTAATTATTCAATCTCAGTTCATGAACTACTATAATTTTCTTTTCATATTCTTTTATCTATAATCCATTTATTTTATTGACATTTTCTACACCCGTTTGGGTATTATGTATTATACACACAAACCGATGAAGAAAATCTATCTATCTATCTTCTTTTACCGATTACAGGGCAGTGATCATCAAGAAAGCCCTGTTAGGAAGAGTTCCATATTTTGTATGGTTGCATTATATAAGGCTGTAGGAGAGGAGAGATTATCACCGTTCATCAACCATTTGGCCGGCAGCAAGGTCAAGTTACTGAGATTGTACATAAGCAGATCAGAACAAACTTCGTCGGTGCCGACAAGTCCGAAAAATAACAGTAGCTAGTCTTTGAACAAAAAAAATAAAACCTCACGGTTGACTTCCAACATTGTTTGGACTATATACGTATAAGGTACTGAATATCGTTGACTATTCTTTTTGAATTAACGCTTTTTTATGTCAGTTTTTCTTCGAAGGTATAAATATTTTGTTCTGAGAACTAGGCAGTAAGTTGAAAGAAAAAATTTTCATTTTCAATATTGAGTAAATATTCCATTCATCACATTTTTTTTACTTGTAAGTCCCCACAAATTTACTTCTGTTTTAAATGTATTCATTGTATTTGATGTTGGCTGCTGTATTTTAACTTTCAATCAGATTGTTGAATATTTTGTGGTAAATTTTTTGATTTACAATATGTTATGGTTCACATTTTTATGTTAGAAGTCTTATATATAAATTCTTCGTTTGAAATATGCAGTCATGTTCTGTATTGTATGTTTGGATAAATATTTTAAAATGTTTTCAACTACTTTCGTATACTCTGCAGAAGTAGTCATTCGTTAGGAAATTATGTCAATGATGTAATTACAGCATTCGAACAAAGGATATTGTTTTTTACAATTATTTCTGTAAAACTCAATAAAATCTCCCGTTCGAATGTTTTGATATAATTTCTGAATATTGTTGGAGGAGTATGTGGATTATAAAAATTCTGTATTTTGAAATAATGAAAATTACATTCACAAATCACTATAAGTTGATATCTCAGCAAAACAATCAGTTCCATTTCAAAAAAATCTATTGAATCTCTTCTCAAATTTTTCAAAATTCCAACCTAAATTTTCTGGGACATTGTGAACGCTCAGTTTAACACGAGTTCTGTTGAAAACTTGCTGACACTTTTTCCATTTAGAATACTGACTGAATTCAAACTGAATCCTTAATTTACAAAATGATGTAATAATATCAAAAATTTTCATGTGTTGATGAAAATAATACTGAGAAATTATTTTTCGAATATGTTTCATTAGAATTCATAAATCAACATCAGACCATAGCTATTATGATCAAATTGTGATTGATATTGCTGTCTGTGAAATTATGGAAAACATTTATTTAATGAAACATTCAAAAAAAGTAAGGGCACAATGTCAATATCAGTAAATGAGAAAATTGTGAATTATACTTTTTTGCTGGTGGAGCTTCCGAGCGAATTATTTTTTATCTGAAAATGCAGTGTAAAGGATTCAAAGAAAAATGTTCGTTCTGGAGAATGTAACTTCACATAGTTACAGAAAGCTTTCACTGTTTTGTGAAATTCATATTTACCAAAAAAATCTTTCATTTCGCACAGTTCTTGATTGATGGAGAAATTTCACACAATGTGACAGTTTTGTCATGTCAATATTGTTGTAATATAAAGCAAAAATGATACAGTAAGTTGGAACTTGAACAAGAGCCACTAAAGTAGATTCACCTGCTAAATTCCAATAAAAAACTAGTTACTGTAAACTTGAGAACGTTTTTGAAAATTTTGTCAATCACTTTTATGTCAGTTTTTCACTAGTCAGCTTAAAACATCAGAAATCATATTCAGTTCTGGATTTGGAAGCTGTTCAAAGTTTTTGTGATGGTTATTAGTTTTTTAACTGTGTACATATTCTGATTTTGATGTTTTATAGTTGTAAGATAATATGTATCTCTTTATTTATTTTAAGAATGTTGAAATCTCTATTGATTTTCTGTTTAAGTGTTTTGTCGCAAAATATTTCTACTCTGATGTTAATAAATGAACTTGGCTGCGTTAGAAAATATTTTGAATCTTTATTGTTGTGATTGATTGAACTTCTCATATTTTTAATGCACAGTTTTAGCATTTTTGACATAGTTATAGATTTACAAATATACAAACTTACTGTTTTTTTATAGAACAAATCTTATTATGTAGCTTGAAAGATGAAATATTTTATATGCCAAAAATATTGAATAATGTATTAATTGAAATAATGTGCTATAATTAATTTTTTAAATATTCTTAGATATTTGTATATAAAGTAGTCTAGCCGTAGATCGATGATTCCTTCGAGTAGCTTCTCCATGTGAACATTCTACTGTTTCTAATGACTATTAACTACCCTTCATGTAATTAATAAATATTGTAATTGTGTGTGTGGCTTCTTTTTCACAATCATATACCAAACGTTACTCAAAACCCTTTAAACCGGTGATACACAATGTTCTAATGAAAACCTTGGGCTCAAAAGCTTGGAACACTATCGAACCAGAAAACTGTACACACGCTTTACAAAGCTCCGCCCCAATACATACCCTGAAGCTGCTGGATTCCATCCAGAAAAAACCAGTTTTCAACTAACAGCAGAATTTTTCTTGTTCTTTTTTGTGAGTTCATGATCCCATGCATGTACCCTTTTGGCAAAAATTTCAGCCGTCATCCAGACTCTTCGATTGCTCTCATAGTCCACTGGCAAATGCCGTACATTTTCAAAACATCGGGGACGTTGAGACTTTCCGATTACGAGAAATTTTTTTATTTGTGCTACTCATGTTGGTTGTCACCATCACAGTTATTCTCTCCTTTGATACGGAACACTGTTCCGAACCTGAAAACTGTACACACCTCAGCAACTTAAGATGCTTTATAAAGCTCAGATCAGACCTTCTTTGGAGTATTGTTCTCATATATGAAGTTCCGTCCCCCCAAACATACCCTGAAGCTGTTGGATTCCATCCTGAAAAGAGCCATCCGCCTGATTAGAGACGTGAACATCACTTCAACTTATAGTCACATCGAAGAAAGGTTGGAGATTTGTCTCTCTTCTAAAGATACTCCACTTCTTCCACTTCCACCAAGTGTTCAAGTGACTTGGCACATTTGATTACACCAAGAGTGGATTGTGGCTGCTCATTGTTTTGAGGTTCAACTCAGTACACGTCGAACTTCACTGTTTGAGAACTCTTTCATTTGGAGAACGGCGTTTATGTGAAATAAACTTCCCGAGAACGTTTTTCGAAATGGATTTAATCTACAGCAATTCAAATCCAATGTGAATCACTACTTTCACGCGGGCACCGCTTTGAGAGTGTCTTAAGGATTTTCCTGTAGTGCTTGTGTTTTGTCCTTGAAAAAAAGTGATTCCAGTATCTAAAGTATATCATCGAGTATATTATGTGAAACAAAGATATGAAATTATTTCAAGTGAAAGTGTTACAGATCTTTTTTTTAGAGATAAACATGTATCCGGGACAGTTTGTGGTAAGAGATCTCAATAAAGTTGGTAAAAATCATAATAACCAACATATAGATTCCACAATCATCACAAACTCAACAGAAGGAAACTGTTCTGAAAATGCCAATGTGGTTGGTGAAACGCGTGTACAGAAGAGTATTGTATTTCTGTTGTTAGCAAAAAGTGCTAATTTTGGATTTACTCTACGCCAAAGGATCCAGTTTTACCTTTTATAACAATAAAAATACCTCACAACTAACCGAGATGAATGAGTTTTAGATATGATGTAAGAACAGCTTTCTGAACTACCAAAACATTGAGATCTCTGTTGACACAAACTGAACCCAATAATACGATTGAAAAAATGAAAGTATATTTACAGTATGCCTTTTTTCTGTAGAAAAAAATATATAGGGAAAACATAGAGATCTCTGAATTTAAGAAAATATGAACGTCTGAATATATGGGGAGATAACAAATCACAGGATCGGGGATACCGGATCACATTCTAAAATCAACTGGTAATCACATATTTGAATGGAGTGAAACAAAAATTTTCACCAAGGAACAACATGAAAAAACGAGAAAATTGAAAAATTTCGCGCATATATTTTAGCAGGTGAGACAAAATCCACAAATATCAAATATGAGACACTCGAAGTGATTAATTGCAGAACAGCTCTGCTTTCGACCAATATGTGATTCTTGTTTGATTTCCTTGTGTATATTATCCCAAGGTCTCTGTTGATTACCTTAGGTGATAACTCAGGTAGCGCCTTGTTTTTTTTTCTCAATAAGTAATAAAAGCTTTCAGCTGTGTTACTGCAAAAATTATTTCTTTGTGGTTTTGGAGGGCCATCTCTTCATCGACTTGGCTTGCATCTGTTCGTCAGAGATCAAATTGTTAAAGTAAAAAATAAGACATTCGATCTTTACCAAATATGCATGGAGTTCCTCAAGAATTTGTGCTAGGTCCAATTTTTTTCATTATAATGTGAATGATCTTCCAAATATTATTATTAATAGGAAAATCACACTTGTTTAAAGATATTACCACCTTATTGTGGCGTAAAAAAAGGACTGTTTGAAGAACGCAAATCCGGTTTCATAAAAGTAATATTGGTGTGAAATGAATTTGTTTCAACTTCAGCAAAACCAACATTGTATCATTCAGATACTGTACTTGTCAAAATCGCTAATACTTTTGCTTTCTCCAACAACTTTAAAATTGCAAATTGTTGAAACAGTGAATCATGCAAGATACTTTTTAAGGAGTATGGTGTCTTAATACTATCATAATTTCATATTTTTGAACTCTGTATATTTTGTGTTCAAAAACAAATCTATTTTTATGGCAAATCTAAAATTTCATCAACATGATACTAGAATGAAGATCTATTTATAGGTCATCATTTTTACAGTTTACATATACAGTTTTATTTTAATGTGTTGCGCTTTCCATTTACCATGAAAACCATTTTCATTTACCCTTAGTTACATTCAAAGTAATGTCATGTGGAGCGGAATACATTGGTTCAAAGATATATAACCAACCTTCCAGATCATTTTAGGGCCCTGAATAGATTTTCTGTGTCCAAAAAATCATTGAAGAATTGTTTATTGGAAACATGTTTTTATACTATTCAGGAATTCTTTGAATAACTCGTATTAAATTTAGTTTATGAGCTTGACTTTTCTTTTTTAATTTGTATCATGTATATTTGTAATGAGGCTTTCTATACAACTTTATGTCTGATTGGGAATAAAGTTGGCAGATTTTTAATCGATTATCTGCCAAAACGAAAAATATTGCAATTTTCGAAGCTTTTTCTATCTGTGTAAAAGAACTTATGCTTTCAAAAGCTCTGACAGAAATCAATTTGCAAAGAGAAATTTTGTACCATAAAAGTACCTTAAATTGATGAATTTTTCATTAGTTTATTCAAAAATTCAAAATCTGATATCTGTATAGGGAATGGAAATAAATTCCTTATTTAAACCAATTGATAAACTTAAACTTCACAGTAGGAATTAAAAGCTAAAGATACAAATTTGATTTGAATTGAAGGGGTTATATTTTTAGGAGTGATTAATTTTTGGGAAATTTTTTGGCTTTCTACTACTCCATGAGATTCCCTCATCCTTGTTTTTTTGTATCAAGATGGAGTAGTAGAAAGCCAAAAACTTTCCCACAAATTTGATCTATTGATATATTGAGCAAGAAAACATACAAATTGAACGAAGAACCTACCATCAACTCGTATAAACCAGAAAAGCTATTAGATTCGTTATCCTTACATAATTTCAAATTATGTACTTTCATTTGGTCAAAAATAAGTCATATATGGTGTGCGTCTTTATGTGTACGATGTTGATAATCATGCTTAATACTCTCAACTGTCTATTTTTTTAAGTTTGTTTGTTGCTGTTTGTACTTTTTATGTATAGTTTTGAATTTTTGTTTTTTCATGTATATTTCTTGCGAAAATAAAATGTTATTATTAAAAAAAACTTTAGCCTAAGGTTGCTCATGTTTCTATTCAACAAAAGGTTGAAATTTTCCCCATTGAAAAAATAAACGATTAAAAAAGGATTTTATTACATTATACTTCATATACTCATACAAAATTATGAAAAACTACTTTTCCAAGATTTTTTTCAAACTGGAAAATTACTCTTCAGACAAAGTTGACCTGTAGGGAATGTATATTTTTCAGGCCACTTAGAGATTGACGTAATATGCTAATAATGAAACATTATTATTACCGATCTAAAAAAAAATATATAAACTGTACATTTGAACCTATTCAAAGTAAACAACAGGTCATTTCATTTCAATCTGATAATAAATATTTCAATTCCAAGATAATATATCTGAAGCAACTATTTTTCCAATTGTTAACCAGACAACACGGGATATCCTACACCAATTCAGGTCATAATATCGTTGGGCTTGGAATGGATATTCTTCGGTGGATATAAACATTTACTAGATATTCAAAATATGGAGATATCCGTTTGTTGCCCGGGAACTAAAAATCTTGAAAACATCAAATTGAAGAATGAAATAAAGTACACAAGGAATACAATAAATTAAAATAACAACTAGTATTACTACTATTACAATAAAGACAGTTCTTAGCCATCATTAACTCAATGCACATTCCTTTAATTGAGAAAAGCAACATTTTGAAAAACTAAATCAGGATAGTATATTTAAAAAAAACTAGGTGAGCTGGACAAACCCCAGACAAAATATTTTCATGAGAAAATACTCATTACATGAAAAATAAAAATTTTTTGAAAGAAATATTGCTACACTTGAGTTTCTTTTGAAATTAATAACGATAGTGACCACAATGCATTTGTAGAGGAAAATTAAATAATATATTAGAGCTTTGAGTGAAAATTTATAGATATGCTTTCATATGTTCTCAGAAATTTTCAAGGAAATGAGTGGTACTTTGTAATAATTTTGAATCAATCTTGAAATTTTCCCTTGTAACCTTGAACATCAGCTCAAGAGTGTAGCAATGTTTGTTCTAGTAAAATGTTTTGTCTCATCTCAACAGAAACTTTCAGACAAAAAAAACTTGCACAGAGTTATTTCTGTAAAAACCCTAAACACAACAGCCTTATAGGAATTGATTTATTCTGAATCGGATTCATGCTCACTAACATCGCTGTTAATGGGTTCAGATTCCGCTTTTTTATTTTTCCTGGAACGTTTTAACCCTTTTTTATCTTTAGCTTTACTACTAGTTGCGACAGGTACCAAATCAGCCTTCTTTCCTCGTTTTCCGGAAGGTTTATCTTTATTCTTATTGGCAATTTCTTTCATACTCTCGGTATAACCTTCCATATCATTATTGACATCCCCATCACTATCTTCTTTTACCGGGGCTGCTTTCTTCTTCCTTCCTAAAATGTAGAATCAGATATTTATAAACTTGACAACTGTGTATGAAATTTATACACATATTTGAAAAAAAAAATAAATACGTTCAGGCTCACATTTTTTGATTTTGTGGACATCTGGCTTATTGAAAATAAAAAGTTTGGAAAAGAAATATTTTAAATCTTGTTGAAAAATCAAACCAATCCACCTTTGCTTGACAATAAAAAATAATACATGAAATCAATAGTCCTACAGAGAACTGAGAGACAATAAAGAATACATGATTTATATTTTTGTCTTTATCTATCTGCTTTTCTGGAAAGTACTAATTTACCTTTAGATTTGCCATTTTCCTGTTTTTTCCTCAATACTTCTTTCATGGCATCAGTGAATCCTTCCGTACTATCACCAGTTACATGCAATTCTTCAGTACTGGCAGGTTTCTTGGTTTGTTTCTTTTTGGTAACTTTGTTTCTTTCATCATCTGAATCTTCCTTGTAGTTAATCCTACGTCTGCCCCTTCTCTGAGTTGGTGACCTAGTAGGTTCTTCAATTTCAGAGGATAGGGTTTCTTCTTCCTTTTCCGTTTCCATTGGTTCATCATGCTTATCATCGTCATCATCCTCAACATTTTCTTTTTCATCTTCGGAAGGTTCTTCAACTATTTTTCTTTTTCCAGGCTTTCGCTTTGGCGTTGGAGTTTTTTTGACTTCAGCCTTTCTCTTGGTCGGTGACTTAGTGATTGGAGAAAATTGAAGTGGTTTACCTAGGCCATCTTTTCCATCTACACCAGATAGAAATATTTTTCGTATGGTTTTGTAGTCTGGAGCTGAATTATGATCTAGTGTTAGGATGCAGTTCAGAAAATCTACCACAGGTCCTGTACAAAATAATTTTATTTAAATCATGATATGCTGAGAGAGAAAATTTGAATATGCAAAATAATTCTAAAGATTAATATAAAGGTTTGAACAAAATACAATGAAATTATGAACTATCAAAATAAACAAAGATTGAAAACTGTGTTTCCAGAACAATATTCCTTATTTCATGAAACTGAAAGACAAATTCTTCTACAAAGAAAACAAAAAACTCCAATAATATAATTGTGCAAAAACTCACAACTTGTACGAAAGACCAAAAACACTAAGAGTATTATAATTAATCACTTCTGGAACGTGACCAATTCGAAAAAAAATGAACCTCTAAATTATTCCGGGTATCAACGAATCTATAAGTCCTAACTTTCAGAGTATTAGGTGTATCAAAATTATTTGAATAGAACTGGCCGATATTTGATGAAAATCCATATCAAAACTCATTAATACAGTTTATTGTATGATGTATCATCAATATAACTCTGCTCAACTCCACACATTTTACTAGGCACAAAGTGGTCATTATTCGGTCTGAAATGGGAAATATACACTTGATTGATGAATCCATCTTGTAATTTTCCTCAGTTTTGCTCACTTAGATGCAACATTAAAAGCGACTCTAAAATGAAGTAGGTGAAAAAACTTTATGGCAAACCTTTCATGTAATATTTTAGAAGTTATGACTTGTCTAAAATATTTGTTGATACCTACCCAGTATAAGTTGAAATCTTTAAAAATATCTAAAAAATATTAACTTTCTTAAATTTGTTCAAATGAAGAGTAAGGGAAAAGCGGTGAATATTATTTTTACTTTATTACCTAATACAAATTGTAGGCTGAATAAATACGGAACATTCATTTTGCCATTGAATTGAAAGTATTTCAAAGTTTTATATTTATCAAAAAATTCACTGAAATTTTATTGAATATCAGTTGATTTTTTTGAGCTTATTGTCCTCCTTTTCTCACTCTACAGAAATCTGTGATTTTTGGAATATTGAAGTTTTTTTTTCCTAAATTTGCCAGTCGTACTCTGTCTGTGATTCATGTAGAACATTATAAAGCAACAATAATTATGTTACAAAATTATATATGTTGTAATAATAAACTTACCAGGAGGGGAACGCTTCTCGAAGCATGCCTTGATAAATTTAGGAACACTGGCCATATTTTCTTCCTTCATATTGTGGACAGCAACGGGATCTTTCAATTTCTTTTCCCAGGGCAAAACACAACCTAGCCACTGTATTATATTGTAAGCTAAGATTTCCAGGTCACCTCTTCTTGTCTGAACTGAAACATCCAAAAATAATTTGATGTATCTCATAGGAAAAGGAGGTGATACCAAAGGAAACAAAAAAGAATAAATATTACACGAGTTTTTATCCAACAAAAAACCGTTATTTCAACACCTCGACACGTGTTTTGATCACGGAAGATCAAACTGTTAGATTTTCCTCTTCAAGATGATCACTTGGTGATCGAAACACGTGTCGAGGTATTAAAATAACGGTTAGGTGTTGGGAAAAAACTCCAGTAATATTCATTACTACACCAAAGGTTCCAAACAATACATCACAAAAAATAATAAAGTGATAAATTTAAACTTACCACCTTTGTGTGCATCTCTGCTCAAATATTCTATTGTGCCATCATGGGCCTTTTTGGGATTTGGCTTGAATTCTGCATCAGTGTTATACTTAGCTGCCAATCCAAAATCGACAAGATAGACTTGTTTGTTCAGAGTGTCTTTCGTGACTCCCATAAGAATATTTGCACCTTTTATGTCAGCGTGGACATACCCTCGTTCATGAATGTATTGCAGAACATCCAACTGCAAAATAAATCATCAGTACATGATCACAATCTGTCTACCCCTCAGGTACATGTGTCTTTACGCTGAAGTCTGGCTGCTCACTCCCCAGACCTCATTTGAGTCTTGTCTCAACCTGTCTACCACAAATACTGAGAGAGGGTGGATTTTTGTCAATATTTATATGACACAGCAAGTTTTCATGATAGAAGTAAGGTGAAACGTTGAAGGATTTGAAATATTAGAAAAGATCTTGTTAGTCTTCATGCTAGTTGAAGATTAGGAGTTTTTGGAATTTATTTTCTGGTCTTTTTTTAATGGCGTTTGTATGGATAGTTTATTTTCATATGTTCTATTGGAAACTCGTCAGTTAGTCTCATAGGCGAATCCAGTCAGTTGTAAAGGGAGGGGCTGACCAAATGATAACTTTATCAATGACTCATGAAAATATTGTTTTGATTCTACTTCCTTTCATGCAAGAATTAGACCATATTTCCAAATCTTTTTATTAATCTATGTAATTACTGAGGGTTTTATCTTTATAATTGTTTACACATACATGCCACAAGATTTGATTTTGTAAGTAAAATTATTATGATGTACATGAACACGCTTTTATTTTGTATGACCATAACATGTGAACAATTTTCAAGTCAAATGGGCTTTAATTAGTTGGAGACGATCCTGTCCATCAATAGACCGTTGTTTTTTAATATGTCCGTGCATGTGGGCACGCATGGGAGGCTAGACTCGCAAGAGCAGAAACTGAAGCAGTACGTCACTCATAAAATAAGACGAAATTGTTTATCAATAATTCAGTAAAAGTACAATACAGTCCACTTACATCATTTCACAGTGCATGTCGTGCATGTTCATCAAAGTTTGTTCGTTAATCCGGCTCGAAGGACCATGAACAAACTTTGCATTGTCAAAAAATATTATTTGGATATAAAAATGAACGAACAAAACAATTTCATTGATAAAGTTGTGTTAATTTTTCTAACAGTGTTTCTGTTGGATGTCGATGTCGTACTCTTGCATGGGGGTTTCTTGTCACAGCATACTTTCTAATGATTTCTAGATTGTCGTCTTTTCTAGTCTACTTCTGAGTAAGTGACGGTAGTGTTTTCTCAATAGGGATAATACCAGTGAGTTGGTACAGCAGAGGGTTTGGATGGTTGTATTTGGGGTTATTGGGATGCCTTAATCTTGTTATTTTCCTTATAGCCGTTGTTTCAGATACTTTTATTGTTTTCAAGGCCCTTTGTTTGATATTGAGAAACAGTGGGTGCGAGTATTCAATAAGTGGACGTCAGATTAGTTTATATATTCGGCTTGCTGTTGACATGTTTGCACTTGCTCCCGGGTTTGTCAAACTTGTGAAATTTGCGGCTCTTGCAATCACTTTCTTTTTTTTGTTTTTGACGTGGCTGTTGAAATTTAGTCTGGAATCAAGTGTAACACCTAGGTAATTAACTGTCAATTTTGCATGTAAGATATGTTGGAAAACGTTGATTGTTGGAGAAGTTGCGGAATTCCGATGAATAAATATGATGAACTAAGACTTAGATGAGTTTGGTTGGAGCCTCCATTTATTGAACCAGTTATTTGTTATTGTTGCAAGATGTTCCAAATTGTTAATAACTTTGTCTAGCATTTGATCGTGAGAAATTAGGGCGGTGTCATCTGGAGAATATATGATTCATGCCTGAAGTGGTTCAATTTGTTAAGTTTTCCTATTAAAGGAGTATTTTTTTGGGCAGTTCACTACCAACTTGGACGTTGTTCGGTGAAAATCAAGCCCTAGGCTCTCAGAAAATACTGAGTGCACACTTAGTGACACTGCTCGTCAAAGTCAAGTTGACATTTCAAAATTTACATTTGGAAATAAATTGATATTGCAAGAGGTTCTCACATAATCTTAACGATTATTTGCAATTTTGGGGACTGACGCATAAGTATGTGGAATATGCTAATAATTGTTCATTATTTTCCAAATCCAAGACTGGAACTGGATGTCCTCAGTCTTTATTCACCAATTTGGAAATAGAAATATAATTGTATTATGAATTTTTTACAAAATCAACTCAAGTTCATCATATTGGTTTAATGATAAGTTTCAATTATGAAAATTTATGGCAGATTGACGGACTTAATGTTATTTTCTTTACTTATTTTGTGTTGGTTTCTTGAATGAAAATTTTTAAGAAAGAAATGTATTGCCTTCACTACACTTACATACTAACTGATGTTACTTTATATCGATAGCACTACTGCTATAGCAAAAACACTGAACAAAAAACTTTGAATAATCAACTAATTAATAAGAACAATAAAATAAACATGGAATTAAAATTAAATTGTGGAAAATACACCTACCTACAATAGAACAATTTGACACTGCACATGTGACTAATTGTAAATTATTAAATTGCTTGCATTGACTGGTAAATTTTACTTGCATTCCACCACCAAGCGGTTAAAACCGCTTCACCCCTGAATGTGATAGACAGTAATGGTTGAATCCACCCGCTGGATTAAATTGAAATATTTCAAAAAGTGTTTCGATGATGCATTCGCTTCCTGTTTTTCCGTCCTAGATACAACCAATTGTACATAATTTGATTTTTGTATTATTTATCAACATGTGAACAAAGTTAGGTTGATCGCTATAAAGGCATCGTGAGTTTTTGATAAAACAACATAACATCAGGGTTTCTATGTGTATGTATGTTGTTTGGGTCATTGTCCATAGAGACTCTCCATCTTTTTTAGAATTTATTCAAATGTTATATTCTGAATGCATCTAAATTATTGCGTTAGAATGTGTGGAAACTACTAATTTTTTAAATTTTCTTAAGTGAATGACTTGAAAAGTATAATAATTTGATAAAATTCCAAAACTCCAAGTTGAATTTTGATGTTGACAACGCCTGTCATGAGCACCAATTTCTGTTAGTGCATTTAATGGCTGTGAAACTGTCTACCCTTGAACTTTTTTACTGCTATGTTCCATTGAAGTAAATATTCTCAATGACTCCATTGTCATTTTTGAGGGTGACAAGTGCTTTGATGAATTCCAGGACACCATTTTTGTTGGTACTCATAAAGGAGCAGCATTGTTATAAACATTATTTGAAATGACATAATGGAGTCGATCATGATAACACTTACTATCTGTATTGCCACTTTGAATACTGTTGTTGCGGGGAATGTTCTATTGTGCTCCAAAAATAATTTCCATAAGTCAGTACCAAACTTTTGCATTACTATAAAACGGTATTTTTCACCATTGTGCTCATGTGATCCTGATCCTAGATATACTGGCATTCCAAAAGTCTTCAGACCTTTTTGTTTCTTAAATTGTTCAACTGGAAGACAAATTTTTCAGTTGATTGTATGATAAATGAAATTAATTAATTTACCATCATCAGGTTTGCAATTGCGCATATAAAAATGCATTTCAACAAACAAGGGTCCGTTGCCATGCGGTTCCTGAGGAAACAAATATTATTATGATGTGTGTTTAATTAATAGACATTTACTTACAATTTTGATAACGTATGGATATTTAGAACCTCCACTATCGGCTTCTTGGGCACTGTAAATTTCTCCAAAACCACCTTGGCCAATTGAAGGACCGAGTTTCCATTTCTTCTTTGCTAAGTCTTCTAGAATTGCCCCTTTTGGTAAAGGTTCCGCTAATTTATAGCCATTGGCAGCTTTTCTTTTAGGAGCTGCTTTAGCCATTTTCAAACTTGAGGTTAGGAATAAAACAAAACCATAACATAAAAAGAGCGCTATCTTAAACGGTTACATGTCAGTTTGTGACCAACATAAAGATATTGAATTCACTTCATATGACTGATGACTGTGGCTATGAGATCGTAACGGCGGATTAAGCGGGAGAAGATTCTCACTTATGAAACCTATTGTGATATAAACATTTTTTACTTAAATCCTAACGAAATAATTGTTTCAAATTTATAATTTTATCAATATATGATGGAATTAACCGATACCCGGTGAAAGGAGATTAATGAGAACACTTTTAATTTATAAAAATCTGTTAATCCAGATCATTAAAAATTGGCGAGGTTGGGCAGTTCATGGAAAACATTGGTTTCTGGTTAGATTGATTTTTGCTTTATTCCTTTCTTTGAAGAATTACCACATTTTGTATAAAAATGGAGGAGTGAAAGCCAGAAGGTTTTTTTCCAAAAATTATATTTGTTGTTGAAAAAGGCGATGACATCTCATATTACGAAAATATCATATATGATTTCGACAAAAGAAGTATACCAATATCAAGCGTGAGCAAAGCTTCCAAAAACGGCGTTCCGTTGCAAAGCAAAGCTTCGATATCTACCGCCGAATGAAATTCGTCCTCTGTCTTTGACTGTAGCTTTCGCTGCAAGGCAACTACATGAAATCCGACGCCAAGAGCAAAGCATTTCTGTAGTAGTGTCACACACAATCGCTTCAACGGACTTTTCACTTTGCAGAATAGCAAATAACAGTTTTCCTTTATTTTTTACTGTCATTATTGAAGATTACTTCGACAGTGACAAATGCATCAGGTTCAATGTTTTCTATTTGCAATAATAGACTTTTCTTCTGGAATATCACCCATTTCAATATCTTTATCATCAGTGAAAAATTAGTAGAAATCAAACGAAAAAATAAAATAAATACGTTTTCTTGTATATACACTATCTATAATGGTTTAAGAACGGGCTAACAAAGACCACTTTTTTATTTTTTTGTGGTTTTCAGATTTCATATAGATTTACAAAACTACATTTACTGGTATGAAGTCATACCCTTATTGGGCATGGGTTATGAGAAACCTTCACTGATAGATGTACAAAAAATTACAGATCTATTCAGATGATTATAAGTAAAAATTCATTCCCCTTTTCTTAATCTCTAATCTCTAATGAAATTAGAAGCAGAATCAGGATCAGTTACTAGAATGTTTTTCTTTGAGTTTCACTCCAATTAGGCGTTAAACTCGTAATTTGTTTTTAAAAGAGTCCCAACGATTCGAAAGAAAGTTGAGTAGAGCCTTTAAGGTTATTTTATATGATTTTTGACAGGTTACTTTTACCCCTTTTTCTGAAATTATATCAATTAATCAAAGTATACTTTATTGTCTGAAGATTTACATCTTATTGACATTTTTTCCATAAAGATACAATATAAAAAATAAGGTTGGTGAAAGTATCGATTGAATAAAAAATATATATAAAATGAATATGAAATGAACATTTTATTTAAAAGAATCACTAGGAAGATTTTAGTTCAAGTATTTTCATTAGTTCAAATATCAACATCATATTTGTATTGGTGCTTTTTTGGAATTGTTGAACGTCGTTCGTTTCGTTGCTGAACTTGATAACAATGAGAATGACTGGTATTTTTGAGAGTACAAAAACTGTTTGTGTTCCCTTCTGAAGATGCCAAATGTGACGACATCTTAAGAAAGTCTCTCAAAACAAAAAAGACAGCCAACAATCTCAATATTCGACATATAATTAAAATGATTAAAACTTTTTGATGCTGAGTTGACGAAATATTTGTCGATGGACAATGTTTTATTTAGTCATGGTGTATGGAAAAAGTGTTCAAATTACATTCATTATTCGCTAGGTACCAATTCTACGAATCAATTTATCACTATTATATTTATTTTAGGTTACCTTTTCACTGGAAATGATTGTTCCATATAAGTTGAATCCCCCATAATTTTTGGTGAATTCATCCAAAGTGATTTATGTTTTCTGAGTATTGGTGAACCTTTTCCATAGACTGAAGTTAGACATGTTCTAATCGAGAACTTGAATGATAACGAAGTAAACATCCAGTTTCCAGATTATTTTATTATTAACAGTTATATCATCATCCTTTAGTTGAGATTTTAGAAGTTTGCCTCTTTGTCAACTATGTTTAATAACTTATTTCGTTTGAACTTTGACAGTAAAATCAAACACATATAACGATTCCTCGGTTTACGTATTTTGTATTAATGTTTTATGTAGATTTGCTATTAGTGTTGAAATGCTGGAGGAACATATATCATCTGCGACGCCGACTCTTGTTTATCATGCAAAAAAATTATGAAAGCAAGATTTGATTTAAATAATGCTTCTTCTATTATTTTTTTTCGAGAGCGATCAATATAATTAAACGTGATGGCGGCTTTGTAGCCACGTCCAAAGTCTTAATTTTTAAAAACATATCCTAATTTGGAAAAGAAGTAAAATCAAATAATCAAAAAAGGAATCCAAATATTAATTGACACTTTCATATTTTTTATTCGCGCACTTTCTGAAAGCGTGAAGAAACTGTAATGATAATTTCAATTTATTTCCTAATTGACATTTCCTGGTGACCACCTCATCTCGCACGCCACACACCTGTCCAGTTTATTGTTATTGTTGTTTGTGAAATGGCTTCAAAAGGGAAGCTCAACGATGAGGTGAGTCAAACTCTTTATTTGCACAAAATTGTTGCATGCTGAAAGCTCAGAAGCAGTGTCATAATCAAATAAGATTTCGCGATAACGAAATAATCAAACAACTTGATAAGATAACCGTTGTTACCTATGAAATTAAATTTACAGCTATCGAGGCCACGCCTATTTGATGTTTTTCAGGTAAACGTCTATTGAAATCCCTTTAAATCCTTTAAATATAATGCAGGGCTTACATCCCACTGTGAAGTTGATGATAACGATTAATAGTTCATTGACGATTTCTCTTTTTAGCGCCATAAATGGTTAAATCTAGCAATTACACTTTACACGCTTTAAAATCATAACCTAGTTTTCGTGAAAAGTAATGAGTGTCGTTTGTTTATTTAAGTATTGAATAATCTCCTTTTTGAATTTGTTTATGAGAATATAACGTCAAATGAGTGAATTTTTGTTCCCATAACCTATCGGTATTTTATATCGATTATGAAGGTGTGCCCGAAAGTTTATCCTATGACTAACCAGACTAACGCGCTTATTGAATTTAGTAAGGTTAATTGAATGAGTGTGATGCTCTTTAGACACTTGAATAATTTCTACAGATGTAATGTTTTTAGAATATTTCTTGGAAACAACACGTACGGCGATGTGGTACACTAGAGAAGAAAACGGACCAAAAATTTTCGCAGAAAATTAAAATTTTTGCTTGCCCAGCAAATACTAGTGTCGACGCAAAAAAACAAAATTGTATATAAACACCCTATAATATACAATTTACAATATAATTACAGTTGAAAGTTCAAATTAAGGTACCACCAAATGTGCCCTTATTTTAAAGTTAAAAACAAAAGATGTTGACCAAAAAAGTTTCATGTCATTATATTTTCTAAAATATTGTTTTTTAAGTTTGGATAGCAATATTTTTTGCTTTTGATTTACATTTCACCTAAAATTTTGGTAGATGATCTTCTATAATTTTAAGTAACCTTTTTGATTAGACACTTTAGGTATTGTCATTAATTTTTTTTACAGTGTTAAAGCAGATCAGAACACAATTGTTTATTTACTTCAAAATATAAAGTAAAACATTTAAGGAATTACTATGAAGTGAAACAAATACAGTGTGCGGCAATGAAAACGAAACAAATCGAATATATCTGTAAGATATAAAAAGATAAGAAATCTTTAAATGCAAACTAAACTTCTCTGAAGAGGTGAAATACCTTGATACTATCCTCGACAAGAAGCTAACATGGAACTCTCATCTACAGAGTAGAGCAAAAAGAGCATACGTGGCTTATGAGCAATGTCGGAGGACAGTGGGACGCGCATGGGGTCTTTCACCCCGTGTAGTCGCCTGGATCTACACTGCAATAATAAGACCTATGTTAACGTATGGAGCCATTGCATGGGGACCGAAAGTTCTACAAGCAACGGCCATCCAAAAATTATATCAAATACAGTGACTGGCTTGTTTAAACATCACAGGAGCCATGAGAACAACACCAACCGCGGCAATGGAATTAATCACGGGTCTGACCCCTCTGGATCTGTACGTTAAGGAGGTTGCGTTAATGGCTATGGTACGATTGCGCACGGCTGGTGTAAACCTCGAAGTAGGAATGGGTCAATTGAGGCTGGGCCTATGGCGGGAAGCGCTTACTGCGCAACCTCTGCTGCAGGCAACAAGTGATGCAATTGAACCCAGGTTTGTGTTTAATAAACCCTACAAAATACAAATTAAGCAGAACACAGAGTCAGATGCTACAAATGCAATACGGATTTATACAGATGGCTCATAAACCAAAGAAGGTTCAGGATGTGGAGTGTACTCCAGATCACTAAGCCTAAGGATTAAGTGGGGAATGGGAAGAAATACCAGCGTGGTCCAAACAGAACTGGCTGGTATCTCAATCGCCACAATAGAAATAACCAAGAAAAGAATTTCTGGCAAAAACATAACAATCTACACTGATAGCAGACAAGCACTATTAGCCTTGAATAGACAGCGTGTTACTTCAGGGCTAGCACTAGAGTGCCACCAAGATTTAGCCAAAGCCTCGGTAGATAATAATATTATCCTGAGGTGGGTTAAAGGGCACGACAGGAGTAAAGGTAATCGCATTGCCGACTCTTTAGCCAAGGAAGCGGCTGGAATAAGAATTTTAGGACCCAGTGGCACCCACGGCCTGATGACTTCGACAATTGCGGAACTAGTCAAATGTTACACCCATGCTCAATCTTTAAAGAGATGGGATGAAATCAAAGGATGTAATCTTGAAAGGATCACCTTGGGCGACCCTGGGAAGCTGGCGCCGAAGAAATATCTGGCAATGACCA